TCCATCTATTTACTCCTCCATCCATCCATTTAGTCATCCGTCCATCCATTTAGTCATCCATTCATCCATTTAGTCATCCGTCCATCCATTTAGTCATCCATCCATCCATTTAGTCATCCATCCATCCATTTAGTCATCCATCCATCCATCCATTCAGTCATCCGTCCATCCATTTAGTCATCCATCCATCCATTTAGTCTTCTGTCCATTTAGTCATCCATTCATCCATTTAGTCATCCGTCCATCCATTTAGTCATCCATCCATCCATTTAGTCATCCATCCATCCATTTAGTCATCCGTCCATCCATTTAGTCATCCATCCATTCATTTAGTCATCCATCCATCCATTTAGTCTTCTGTCCATTTAGTCATCCATCCATCCATTTAGTCATCCATCCATTAATTTAATCATCCGTCCATCCATTCAGTTCTGAATTACTGTAGCTGACACAAACAATATCTTAACGTTCCATGAATCTTCTGCAAATCAGTTTGTCTTTATTTACATTTACAATTAAGTCCGACTGTGATCAGAAATCAGAAAACAGTTCACGTGGTCCTGCAGATTTTTGCTCCCAGCTCTGCAGGAATCAAAGAGGCGAAAGGTGAATAGGTACTATTCTTTGTAAACGATGTGGCTTTATTGTGGAGAAATGCGCAGATTGCAGTTTATTCCGGATCATCCATAAAAGAAAGTAAAACATCGCCACAGATTTTGTCTGAGTTTTATTTCTTCCTCTTTTCTTTTATTTATTTATTTTTTTGCATAATATTAAATTTAAGGAACCAGTTGCTTCCCAGTCATGCTGACACGCACCACTGTGGTGGTAGTGAATGGATAGCATCATGGCGTATCACTACAGCCTAAATATCAGACATTATGTGCTCCTGTGTGATTTGCATGCTCCAAAATGCTGGTAGTGACTTATCTCTTCCATCAAAACCACTTTAAAAGTTCTGTGTTGAAACCTGCAGAGTAGCTCTTCAAAACAGCCACAAACAGCTTTTAGTGCCCCAGCAGATGTCCCATTGTTTGGCCTGGTGGTGTAAGGTTGCTTCAGTTGAGTTTGGGACTCTTCCTGCATCTTTTGAATTTCGCCCCCTTTCAGTGCTGTCAGCAGCCCCCCCCCCCCCCCCCCCCCCAAGCTACTCCAGAAAGGGGTTTTGCCCTTCCCCCATCCCCTTTAACCCCTCATAGTTGCCCCTCCCCAGGCACCAACTTTTTTTACTACTTCTTTTTGCATGATCTTCATGGGATTCACCCTCAGCACTCACCCAGAGTGAGGATGGATATGCGTCACTTGAATGAAAACACTTCACGACTTATCAAATGCATTGTGGACCACTGCTGTGCGGCATTATGTAACAACCACTGCTTCAGTTGTCCTCGCCTCCTTTAAAGTTTGGTGTGTGAAACAAGAAAGAAGCAATAAATCATCTAGGAAACGCAGCAGCAATGCAAGCTTCCTGTTTTTCTGGTCAACCTCGCTGGAGGCAGGAAGTCAGAGCTTTTTTGCTCTGTGAGGATGGGTGACTCTGGCCCCGACAAAAAGCCACTCACCCACTTACTAATGCCGCCGATTTAGGAAGACCTGGATGACTCAGGGCTCTCTGGAAGCTAATAACAACAAATCCAATTACATGGCTGCCGATTGTCAGCGCTGCCATGTCCGCAAATGACCTTTTCTTTGATGGCAGGAGGCTGTCCTCAGCAACAACATAAAGAAAGACCTTTAAATGTGTTTGATAACGGTTAGTGTGTGTGTGTGTGTGTGGAATATTGGTAAGAACAAAGAATCCGGTGGTGGCCAACATGCCTGAGTGGCTGCTTTAAAGGACTGATTAAGGTTATAATCGTCATCTGCCTTGCTTCAGGCCCTGGGGCGGTGTTGGGGGTGGGGGGTGGGGGGTGGGGGGGGGGGGGTGGCCAGGCCTCTTTGTTCTGGCCCTGAGTGGAGACTCATGCTTATTCTTTTGTCTCCACCCACTGTCAGCTTTATCTGTCCTGCAGTCTCGCGCCAAAATGGCAAAGCGGTTTCTTCTCCTCCACCGTTCCGGTTTCATTCCAGTCACGTTTCCAAGGAAACTGCAGGTACGGCGTAGGTGTTCTAACGTTCCTCAGGAGCCTCCTCTTTCAGGTTCCTCTTGTCTTTGCAGCATTTCCCGCCACTGCAGGGTGCTTTGTGAGGGGAGGGATGAGAGGTGACACACACACACACACACACACACACACACACACACACACACACACACACACACACACACACACACACACACACACACACACACACACACACACACACACATGCTCTCAGCTTGGCGCCAAATGCTGGTGTTATTCAAATCAGCTCAGAGGGTGCGGCCCAACTGTCTCCATGCCCAGTTAACCCCGTCCCCGAGCTCCAGATCACAGCGCAAACACGCATATGCAACTTTATTTATGTTTCCGGAAACTATTAGAATTTCATGCATCTATTTTACGAATGAAACTGAGCTCCTTGTGTCCACATTTGAATGCATCCCTGACTGATGTGGCTGAAATTATTACAGAATTAAAGAAATACTCTTAAGTTTTCGGCACAACTTCCTCTTTAAAACAGTCTTTCACATCCTCTTTGTCTCCAACACGCTGAAGGCATGAATGAATTTGCAGCTTTCTGAGGTATTTTTTACAGCTCTGCTGCTATCTAGTGGCAGAAACTGACTACACTTGAAGCGATGATACATAAAGAGATATATATTTTTTATTCTGGTCAACTTTGACCCATTTATTTTACTTGGAGACCGAATTTCACTTCAGAATAAAAAATGTAATTAGAGATTTATTTAATTTTTTCCCAGACACAAAAATGATGCGAATTAGAAAAAGCTGGGGGAATTAAAGATTTAACATCCAAAAAACAAAAATGTCTCATTAGGTTAAAACAATGTCAATTCAAATAAACAAAATATTTAATCAGTTAATTCAAAGGCTTGAAATTACCAATAATTTGACAGAAATATGTTTTAGACAGTATACAAGTTTGTGAACTTTTGTTTCCACAAAGTACCTCTGAATGTATCTGATTACATTTCTATGGGAGTAAATCTATTTTGAAACCACAACATTTTAATCAGTCACAATGCCTCTATGTCTATTTCTTTGTGGAGTTTAAAGTTCACATTGAAAGTGTTAAAATAGGCTTTAGAACTTAAAACATGCACCCTGTGGGAACGTAGCTTCAGCATAATTAGATGTTTGTCAACTTTCACAGATTTTCATAGATTTTTGTCTGAATCTGTTAAAATAAATTCAGCTGCTTTAAGCAGAAAAAGCGATAAAAACATTAAAACTCATCCAAATGTAAAAATGTGTTAAAGTTCAAAGAATAAGGTCAGATGCCGTTTGTGCGCACACGTGTGTGTGTGTGTGTGTCTGATATATTCATCTTTTACAGTCAGGGCCATAAATATTGGGACATTGACACAATGCTAACATATTTGGCTCTATACACCACCACAGTGGATATCAAATGAAACGAAGACATGCTTTAACTGCAGACTGTCAGCTTTTATTTGAGGGTATTCAGAATCAGGTGAACGGTGTAGGAATTACAGCAGTTTGCATATGTGCCTCCCACTTGTTAAGGGACCAAAAGTAATGGGACAGAATAAGAACCATAAATCAGACTTATACATTTCAATACTTGGTTGCAAATCCTTTGCATTCAATTACAGCCTGAAGTCTGGAACACGTAGACATCACCAGACGTTGGGTTTCATCCCTGGTGATGCTCTGCCAGGCCTCTACTGCAACAGTCTTCAGCTCCTGCTTGTTCCTGGGGCTTTTTCCCTTCAGCTTTGTCTTCAGCAAGTGAAATGCACGCTCAATCGGATTCAGGTCAGGTGACTGAATTGGCCATTGCAAAACAGCCCACTTCTTTCCCTTCAAAAACTCTTTGGTTGCTTTTGCAGTATGCTTTGGGTCATTGTCCATCTTCACTGTGAAGCGCGTCCAATGAGTTCTGAGGCATTTGGCTGAATGTGAGCAGATAATATATCCCGAAACACTTCAGAATTCATCATGCTGCTTTTGTCAGCAGTCACGTCATCAATAAATACAAGAGAACCAGTTCCACTGGCAGCCATACACGCCCACACCATGACACTTTTTATGTTTATGTTTATATTTATTTATTTGGCAGACGCTTTTATCCAAAGAGACTTACAATTTATAACCTATAGAGCATGTTGTGATCTGTGGGGGAAACCGGAGAACCCGGAGGAAACCCATGCATGCATGGGGAGAACACGCAACTCCACGCAGAAAGGCCACAGCCTAGTTTCGAACCTGCAACCTTCGTGCTGCGAGGCAACAGTGCTAACCACTGCGCCACCATGCAGCTTACACCATAGGGCTATTCATGCTTCAGTCTGAGTCACATCATGGAAATAAATGTTTTCTGCAGTCATAACATTTTATTTTGTTACCGGTATGCTTTTGTTTACCTCACACACAGTTTTTACTGCTTGATATGTTTGATGTGTTCACACGTGTCTGTTATCTTGCTGTCTGCTCAGTCTCACCCTCCCATCTGAAGCTCACAAACTGCCAGTTTGCTGGGATGAAAGCTGAGCTAACACCATTAATGATCATTTAACGCTCTTCAAAGCACAACACGAGCTTTCATCTGGTTCCTGCAGCACCCGCCTGCTTCTCTGTGCCACAGTCGGAGAGGGTGACAAATGTAATCTGACACCTTCACATTCAGCTTTCTGGAAATTAAGGGAGTGTGTGTTACTCTGACTCACCGATTGTTGCTAGGAGACGAGGATGATGCTTTCCAAGTGCTGAGGGAAATTAGAGACAACGACTCCATTTCCCAGAATTCCACGCAGGATTATGAAATAGTTTATAGGAAGTAGTAAAGGATACAGACGATATCATGAACCTTTGATGCAAAATCTAACACAAAAGGGTCAAAAATCATTTGTTTGAATTAGAAAACAAATCTTTAGACATTTTGACTGCATGTCTCTTTTCAGGACATCGTGACCCTAGACACACGGGCTGCTCTCGTCCAGCAGTGAGCAGCAGCCAGCTGTCAGATCGAATCAGGCTCTGTCGTGACTCCAGCGAGTCACACGGTGAAAGAGTTAAAAAGTGGGAGGATGCAAAGGAGATTGGAGTCAGTACAAAGTGTCCAAGAGAGGAAAGAGCAGCAGCACACAGGACCCGATCAGGGGGTTTCATCTGCAAGATGCTGCACGAAACCCCACAAGGTCACAGCTTGAATTTAGTCAGCATCTGCCTGCATCCTGCCTCTGATTTCCCAGCATCCCAGCCCAATTCTGGATCTTTTTGGCAGCCAACCGGGTGCCTCTGCAGTCATTTTGAGCTCATCTGTTAAGTGAAGCAGGACTGGATGTAATCTGTGGATTTCTGTGGGGATTTCTGTCATACGGGTGTTTAAAAGTGACCCATCGGGGGTGGAGGGTCTCAGTGTGATCCTGAAAAGAGTCTTAAGATGAGTCTGAACAGCAGCCAAACTCTGACAGTCAGCGGGCAGGATTTGGTGAGGAATGGCAGCAGCAGTGGCAGACCCCCTTGGGAAGAAGCTAGAGCAGCTCTGAAGCCCTCCACACCCACGAAGAAACCCCAACCAGTGAGTATCTCCATCTATCTGCATCTTCACCCTACCTACTGTTTTTCATTTAGCATCACAGCCCAGAGGTCTGCTCTGATCACAAGTGAAACATAAAGTTCTGTTAGTTTGTCCTGGGGCTTGATAATCTCACAGTAAAAGCTCTAAGCTGTGCTGCTGAGTGATGAATTATTTAAAAGCTTTGGCTCACTGATAATCTAACTACATAAAGATGAAGCAGGATGATCCATTGTGTCGGTTGGAAACCAAGGGTTCATGTTTCAGATCAGGTAGATGAAAAGACAATCAGGGAGCTGCCGAGGCTAAAAAAAACAACTTGTAGCTGCAGGGATGATGCTTAAAGACGAAATTTAAACGATCCTTTCTCTGGTTTTCCTCTTTTAAATTAAATTGATTTCAAATGTCTTTAAGGTCCATCGCCCTGCAGCTCTAAAGTTTAATAAACAAGCAAGATTGCATTTTTAAAAACATTTACAAACATAAACGTAAAATTCAAAGAGCATTTTCAATCCTCTCCTCCTAGATTTGTCACTTTGAACATCGTTTTATGAAAAGTGAACAAAAAGTGCATAAAGAGCTTTATATCTGTGGTTAGGTCTGATGTTTATCACATTTGAAGCAGTGAAAGGAAAAATTATGTAAGCGTTTAAAATAACTATTATTACTGCAAATGCACAGAAATAATAATAATAATAAATAAATAGATTTTTGACCTGGTCAAGGCTACAAAATTCCACTTTGTGCCTCATTACGAAAATAAAAAATTACATATTTTATGTTTTGTCCTTTTGGTAAAAACAACTGCAGTTCTTGAGAAATATGACTATATATATATATATATATATATATATATATATATATATATATATATATATATATTTTAGTGGTGTGCATCTCTACCTGCCTCACGATTCGATCCAATTCCGATTATCTGCCTAAAGATTCGATTTGAGTCTGAAATGCATCACGATTCTTCACACAAAAATTTTCATGACTTAATAAAAGCAGTAGAATAGTTTTCAATTTCTTTTTGATTTCGAAATCCCTGAAAAACAGAACATTCATCTATTCACTATAGTGAGCAATAATGTTTAAAGTGTGCCGCCTATAATTACTTACATAATATAAGAAATAATGTTTTCGGTAGAGCAGCTTTAAGATAGAATATTACTGAACTTAAAAATAGTAAACAAATACTGTGTTAAGGGATTCTTTCACATCCAGGATCCCAAAACTGAAATTAGCCCAGACATCCGATTTAAATGAAACGGGTACATCTTTGATTACTGGTAATGTTGGACCTGTATCCCTGTCCGCCTTTTCTGTTTTAAATTGGCGCTAGGGCAACGCAGTGCGCATGTCATTGCAACTCTGCCCCCAGAAGTAATTGTAAAACCTCAAAACTTTATTGTCCTCAAATAGACATAGGGAGAAAATCTCATTATGTCACTTTGCTGCATCGATGCGGAATCATGCACGGCTGAATCGCGATGCATCTTAGAATCGATCATTTTTCCCACCTCTATATATATATATATATATATATATATATATATATATATATATATGCTAATTCTGAAGGTAAAAAGTTTTTTCTGGGGTTATAATAATAAAATGTGCATCTTTTCTTTATGGCGTGATTCAACAGTGTTTTTACTTTGTGACTGCAAATGAACATAGATGGTTATCACCAGTTGAAGTGACATTTTGACTGCTCATAAATTAAGCAGATCATCAAATAATTTAGAGGTTACAGTTGAATTAAATGCTCTTAAAATACAGTTAAATGAGAATATTACATTTTAATCACAGTCATTAGTTATTTTGTTTAAAATAAGAAGCTTAACCTTGTTTCAACCCGTAAAGAGTTAACAGGTTTCAGCCTCTGGCATGTGAGCCTGCTATCAGACTCTTGAAGAGGTGCCAGATGGGACAACCAGAACTGTTCTGTGGTCTAAATGTCACGGTTTGAACCGCTCACCCTCCAGCCCAAGCCGCAGAACGCCATCACCATCGCCGTGTCGTCCCGAGTCCTCTTCAACATGGAGAAGGAGCAGCAGATCTACGAGCAGCAAGGGATGGAGGAGTACATCAAGTACCAGGTGGCTCACGAGACCGAGCCGTTCAGCCCTGGACCGGCCTTCTCCTTCGTCAAGGTCAGAGGTTCCTGATGTGGAGAAACATGAACATCCAGAGGATTTCTGTGTTGTGTCTGTGGGGGCGGAGGATCAAACGTGGATGCTTTGTTTCTTTTGTTTTAACACAAATCTGTGTTTTTGGTCACGGTCCCAGGCTTTGGAGGCGGTCAACACCAAACTGAGGGAGCTTTATCCTGACAGTGAAGAGCTTTTCGATGTGGTTCTCATCACCAACAACCACGCCTACGTTGGCCTAAGACTCATCACCACCATCAATCATCACCGTAAGTCAACGAAGCCTCTGAGATACGTCGTCTTCATAATCTCAAACCCACCCTTTTGCGTTCTGTTGTGCTGCGTGGGTCTCTACTGCCTCCATTAAAACTCCAAACATGAATCAATTCATCTATTTTCTGTCAGTGTTTTCGGTTTTATGCACTATGAGTCTAAAACGAGCTGTTTCAAAAAGTCCCCGTTTGTGACATCACAAACTGGCACATTAGCATAAAACCACCTCCCACACGCAAGAGAGACCTGCTGCCAGAGGGGCAGCGGCTCTACTACAAGCCCCTCCCAGATATTGGAGCTGCTCAGCCTGAGCGGGTGGTGGTATTGGGGTGAGTGGGTGTGGCCAGTTCCGGTATGTGTTCTTACAGAGCCCAGAAACGGCTCATTCTGGAAGGTACTAGGAGTTATTTTGGTGCTTTAAAATAGGCTCTTAAAATAAAAACTTAAATTAGGGGTTATCTTTTCAGATTATGTGGATTACAATATTTTATCCTGTGGGGAAAAAAACTGTCTTACACAAAAATACAAACATTGTTATGGCTCAGAGCCATTTGGGTTTTTCCCTGTGTGTGTGTGTGTGTGTGTGTGTGTGTGTGTGTGTGTGTGTGTGTGTGTGTGTGTGTGTGTGTGTGTGTGTGTGTGTGTGTGTGTGTGTGTGTGTGTGTGTGTGTGTGTGTGTGTGAGAGAGAGACGAGATGCAGCACCTGGCTCCAATCTCACTAGATTGCCTCCCGGTTAGATTCTCTCAGCTGATCCTGATGACCAGCAGCATAAAAGTCAGCCAGCCCTCAGTTCAGAGAGCTGCAGGCTATGGAGGTTCTCTCTGGTCTGTTGTTTCCTCAGCAGCTTTTTGTTTTGTTTTGTTTTGTTTTGTTTTGTTTTGTTTTGTTTTGTTTTGTTTTGTTAAGTTTTATGTAACAACTTTGGTGGGAGCTTAAAACTCTGTGTTTAACCGTTCGCCCCTTTTAGGGGTAAAGGACACTTTACCCCTTCGCTTGTTTTAATTAAGACATCACTCGGAAATTAGGAAAAATAATGTGATGGTCTTTCGTGGGTTTTGTATTAATTTGGTTAATATGAGAGTTTAGTTGTTACTCGTTTTGCTTTGCTGCTGATGTGTCTTTTTAATCTGTGTTTTGAGTTTATATTTATGTAAATAAATGTTGTTTTGTTACTTTTAACATGAGAACGTGCGTCCTCATTGTTACCCCAGCCCCCCTAGACAGCCTGGATCGTAACAAACATTGACTTTGAAATTAATAATAATAAAAAAAAGTAATCCAGAACAAATGCGTGTTGATAGATATTTATTTAGCAGCAAGAATTAACATTCTGGACCAGTTTAGCATTTTCTACCAAGTAAACGATTATTTATATTTCATTTTTCAGCACTTGCATGTTGATATCTGATCTGAATGGAGTAAAAATGAAGAAAAGTCTCCTAAACCAGAATAAAAACTTCTCAAAAACATCCTTCACATGATGCTTTTTTAAGCCACCCAGTCTTTTAATATCCTATGATGCTGCAAGGTAAATGAAATATTTAAACTCATTGCATTGGTTCACACCGGCAGGAATATTCTTTTTATTGCATTTTTCATCATTTATTTCATCTATTTTTATGAGGAATTTAAACTTTTGTTTCCATGTCTTTGCTTCCAGTTTATTAATAAAACACATGAGAACCCTTGATGCAGATGTATGGGTTTATATTAACACATCTGCAGACAGTCTTTTTTCAAGGGGAGGAGTTTCAAAAAAAGCAACCCTCTGAACAGAATCCCAGCTGTGTTGGAGCAGACTGGAGATTAACCGGATGGTTTGGTTCTGCGGACAAGACAGATCATAACAAACAGATCAGTCCAGGGATTTAAATGGAGATTAAAAAGCTGCTTTCTGACCTTAAAGTGAAAAAATATGTAAAAATGCAGCATTGTGTCACAGCAAGACATGGGAAAACACTCATGTTAATATATTTCTTGGAAAAAGGTCTTTTCCACATCAACAGCTGGTCAGTGGCTCACAAAGTTGGGTTCGAGGTCCCGCTCTGGGTCGTCAGGGTCAGATCCTTAGATCTGCTTGTATTTTAGTTGGATGTGTTACTTTTATATCTGAAATGGGTTTCATCTGCTCCAAATGCTTTAATGATCACCCAGTTTTATTACCTATGTGTGACAGTGTGTGTCCTGTCACAGTGTCCCGATTGATCATGCGCCCTGGCTACTTGGCCAAGGGGATGTCCCTTTGGCTGACTGGTTAGAGCATATGACTCTCACCTGGGAGTCTGGGGATCAAATCCCGCCCGTGCCCTCGTTTATCCACCTTGCCACATATGCACTGTTTATTTTTTTCTCCTCTCTTGCAGAGTTAGTCATCGAGCGTTTCTGCATGACAGGAGGAAACAGTCCTATAGGCTACTTGAAGGCCTACCATACTAACCTTTACCTATCTGCTGACCCGGTTAAGGTCCACGAGGCTCTGGATGAAGGTGAGCATTGAGATAATCTCCGTCTGGATGAACAAACGGCTTCAGATGAGCAGATAAAATGGAAACTTTGTTTATTTTTAATTTTGCGTGAACCAGGTATAGCAGCGGCCACCATGTTCACACCAGAGAAGATGACAGAAGTGTCGGAGACGCAGCTGCGCGTCGCCTTCGATGGCGACGCCGTTCTTTTCTCAGATGAGTCGGAGCAGATTTTCAAGGCCCACGGACTGGACAAGTTCTTTGAGCACGAGAAGACGCACGAGAACAAGCCTCTGGACCATGTAAAGTACACAAACTGGTGTTTTAGCTTTTTAATGCAAGTCACACCCAGACCAACATTTTTGGCTGAAAAACTTATAAACGAGTATCTGATAATACTTGTAGACACGTGTAGTCATTATTTTGGCATTTAATTAAAACTCTAAATTAAAAAATAAAAATGTTCTGCCTAAAACCGTCAGCAGAGAGGGTCAATGCTGCAGTGTCACCCTCTCAGTCCACCTGAAATAAAAGCACCTCTCACCCCACAGGGACCTCTGAAGGGCTTCCTGGAGGTTTTGGGGAGGCTGCAGAAGAAGTTTTATGCCAAAGGTCACCGAATGGACTGTCCCATCCGGACCTACTTGGTGACGGCTCGCAGCGCGGCCAGTTCTGGTGCCAGAGCTTTAAAAACTCTGCGCTCGTGGGGTCTGGAGATCGACGAGGCTCTGTTCCTGGCAGGAGCACCCAAGGGTCCGATGCTGGAGAAGATCAGGCCTCATATCTTCTTCGATGACCAGATGTTTCATGTGGAGGGGGCAGCGGAAATGGGGACGGTGGCATGCCACGTGCCCTATGGGATCGCCCAGAAGGTTCCAAGGAAAGGAGTAAAGGACAAAGAGACTTCTAGTGCAGTTAAGTAGCTGGGATGTTTCTGTGCAAGAGACACCAACCACGGGCATGTAGCTGCACAAAGAGTAAAAAATTACAGAAGAAATCATCTTTTGAGATGCAAGCTCACGCAAGTGCGCCATGCTTATTACCAAAAGCTAATTCTAGCAGCACTTTAGTATTATGTTAAATTATATTTATATAATTTTATTCATTTCTCCAGTCAACGGAAATCGGTTTAATGAAACAGGATTTGGAATGGCAGCTCGAAAGTAGGAGATGATTATGTAAATACTGTCATTATGGAAAAGACAGAAATATTTTTAATTAATTTATCAGGTTTATTAATTTTAAGTTAATGTTATTTTTTCATTCAAGTCTAAACACAAGACCTTTTGGATTCAGAGCATAAAACATTGCATTTTTCTTTTTACAAAGCATGAGACTTTACTTTAATGGTTGTGAAATCATCACAAACATAGTTGGATCTTTATTGTTTCATTAGCAGCAGAAAATGTGTCTGATGTGGCAACAAGTGGCTGTTTTACCCGGAAAAACGTGTTTTAAAAACATCTCAATTCCTCTAAAATAACGTATTTTCATTAAACCCCAAAAAGATTGGAAAGAAATTCAAAATTATGTTAAGAGGTTCAAAAATCTAGTGATTATTTGAGTTATTTAGATGTAGAAAAAAAACTAAAAACTTTATTTGAATGAATTTCCATTTTTACGCAGATTTGAAGTGAAACTTGTGCCTTTTCACAATTTTCTCTTTTTTCGTACTTTATGCTTGTTATGTTGCTGATGGAGTCATGTAGGTGTTTGCATTTAAAAACAAAGAATAAACAACATTTTAATATCCGTTTCTGCTCCAATGTGCTAATATCCAACGTTTGCTCGCTGCTCGTTCCGGAGTGCTGAATGTTGTTATCAGCTGTGTGTGTCCAGTTCTGCACTTAATGTTTCATCACTTACGTCTGCGTGTGCTGAAGGTGGACAGATAAATAACTGTTCACTGTTTTAAGCTTGGAAATAAAAAGGAATCTTTGAACAGTGTTGCTGTTGTTGACCAGCCACACCTACTCTGCAGCTCTACCGCCACCTAGTGGCTGCAACTTGTACAGATGAAGGAAGGAAACGTCACAGCTGTTGTCAGCCTTTTTATTTAAATACAACACAAGAAATCAACAAAAGTTCTGCTGAAATATAATATTTCTGCCCAGCTGGATACAGTAAGTTTTATTTGTGAAACAAACCCAATAAAAACAATGGTGCTGCATTCAGAAACACACCTTTTTAAAACTAAAATAGCAGCCCTGAAACTTGTTAGAAAGGAACAATGATCTTAACAGATTATTATTTCTGTAACATGTAGTGAAAATCCAGAACCCCACTCACACACATCTAGATGAGAAAACACACACACCTGCAGATTTAACAGATAGAAACAGGATTTCCTGATGTTTCAGACCATGGCGCTCGCCACCCATCCTGCCACTGCTCCAACTCCAGCCACAGCAGCTCCAGCTGCTCCAGACAAACCAGCTGCACCTAAAACAAGTTTAACCTTAAAGAACCATCACCCTTTTAAAATAGAAAACACAAATAAAATAAAGAAGTAGAACACTTTTTGATGTCATGGGGCTGTGAAAGTGCTTGAAATGGGCTGTGACACCATCCATCACCAGGTTTTTGGGTTAGGAGTTAAAATAAGCTCAGGTTTACTTAAACCTAAGATTCAGTTTTGTTGAGGGCCCCTAGCATGAGCTGGATGTTATACTTTAATAAAACACGTGAAGATGTGGTTTTACCTGCTGACTGTAGAACAGCCACCAGACTTCCAGCTGCCACCGCTCCTCCGTTAGCGACGGCTGCGCTGGACATCATGCCTGCAGCGTAGGAGCCAGCTGCTATTCCAGCTGAGGTGAAACCAGCTCCTGCCAGGACAACGGGGGCTGCAACGAATAATGATGCTGCAGAGCAAACAAGCACAATAGGTTATCATTTTCAAAAGAAAAGGAAAACTAAGCAGTTAGAAGGATGCGTCACCTGCTCCTGCTGCAGCCGCCACAAGTGTGACTGAAACATAAATAAAACATCTCTGCTTAGCTGGCAGCTGCAGACACTTAATAAATAAACATTTTATTATTAGTTATATACTTACGAGCCATGGTTATTTTTCAAACGTCCGAAAGGGTCCAGCTGCTTTCTCAGAGGATTTATTTGAAGTGAGAAGCTTCATGAGCGACTCAGCTTTATATAGGCCACGTTAAGTTTCATTTCTCCAGAAACACAACTACTGTATTCCCCTCCCCCTGCTTTAGGGACCGTCAACAAATATTCACAGCCTGACGTAAGAGCGAGCAGAGCAACTAAAATGCTGCTTGGAAATGAACAAGCCTCCGGAACGAGCTGCACTGTTAGACTTTGCTGGCATTTGCTAGTATATTACTGTAAAATCAACAGTAAAATACCTGTAAAAGCGTTTGCAGTGTAGTACTGTAACTTCCATGTACTGTTAGACTGTGCTGTCATTCCTATAGTATATTACTGTAAAATCAACAGTAAAATACAGCTAAAATCTTAGCAGTGTAGTACTGTATTTGGCATGTAATGGTGAGTAAATTCAACAACATCACATATTTTTCATGGTATGTCACTGTTTTAAAGGAAACAGGTAAAGTACAGCAAATATAAAAATTTGGTATACCTCTGACATTTTTCTGTCTGTGGTTTTTCAGTGGACATTTTAAAATACCTTGCTCAAATCTTCATTCAGAGTGCATTACCAAAACATTTCTTTGTGAGATCACCAATGAAAAAACACTATGCCCCATAGTAAAGAGAAAATGCTCCAAGAATAAATGTTTTAATTGAGCTATTATAAAAGCATACAGTATGTAAACACTCACTAAAATCTGTTTAAAAATATTTTAATTATAATCCCATAAAAAAAAGATTGGATGCTTTAACCAAGCCTACATTGTAAATAAAAAAATCATCTCAGATTGATGAAATCATATTTAAGATAATCTATCAGTCCTACTGCCTAAATGACAGTAACTGACATCTGCCTGGTAGGCGATTTAAACTGATAAATGTTTACAGAATTTTATCAAAAAACTGACATGATACCAGTTTACGACTTTATAATTGTAAGAAATTTTATGTAAAATATTCCATAAAATATTGATCATTTCAAAATTCCATCAGTTGTTTTTTTTGCATGTTTCATAGCAATATTATAGGATAATTACAGCCACCAAAATTATGCTGTTGTCTATCCATTGTGTTCACTATAGATCAGGGGTGTCAAACTCATTTTAGCTCAGGGGCCACATTGAGGGAAATCTAGTCCCAAGTGGGCCGGACCGGTAAATTAATTAAATACTTCAGATTGTTTTCTTTGTTTTAATACAATCAATATAAAATGAGGCTGGAGCCTGAGGACAGTGTAGTACAAGTACAACACCTGAAGTGTACTTGAAAATTAAAAAAAAAAAAAAAAAAAAAAAAACATTCCTTAGTGATTCAAAGAGCTTACAGATCACATGGCAAGATCAGTTTCATGCAGCACTTAAAGTATATTTGACTCATTTTACTTTACATCTTTTAGCTTTCACCAGCACATCAATATCAGAAGTCACATCCTGAGTGGCGGCCAACTTCAGGATGTGATTCAAGTTCTTGTGTGAGCCTTGAGCGCAGCTTTGTTTTATTTATACTCATTACAGACAAAACTTGCTCACAAAGATATGTTTATTTTCACTCTACATTGTAAAGTATGAAAATAAAGTTTACACAACCATCTCACGGGCCGGATTTAACCCGCTTGCGGGCCGGATGCGGCCCGCGGGCCGCATGCTTGACACCCCTGCTATAGATGTAACAAAAAATTCAGACAGCTATAGATGGAATCTTAAGGAAATGGGCCAAGGGAGAACTCATCAAAGGTATTTCCCACCCCTAGGTATGTTTTATGTTGTTGGGTTTCCCAGAATTAGATAAGTGAAAAAGAATTCATCACTTTCACCTGATACAACCTGGATATTTGCTTTCAAAACAACAACATTGGAAAGACCATATATGATCGTTGTCTTGCACTTTTAGGAAAAGAAGAAATAAAAACATTTTCCAAACACGTATCCCGAATGCGACCCATTGTTGGTCAGTCTGGTAAGTATTTTACTGCATGTTTTGGCTTTTAAACTAGCTATAGCTGTGATCTTCATGCAAATTCTGCAAAATGGTCCCTGTCCATAAAAGTTACCCGAATGTTTTAAAAACTGACAAACAAGGTGATTAATTTTCAGCTGCTACCCATGCAAAGTAATGTGATGCTTAAAACCAAATTTGTTAAGATCTACAAACAATGCATAATCTATTTGTCAATTGTCAGCATGTGATTGTATTTTGGACTGATAGCCAAAGCTAGATTTAACTTAAAATAGCTGATGTTTTCTTTTTGTAAATATTCTATGTAAATCATTTATTTATTCATGCAATTGGAAAACAGTTCTCTGTTTATCATTTTCTTGAATAACTTTCCCCTATATTTTTAGTCACTCAAGCACATCTCAGATATGAATAAGAAAACTGCTTGTGCCAAAATGTTTCTGCTACTTATCGTTTTGCTCTTGATCATTTTTTCTTTTTATTTTTTCTTTTCAAAGGTAAAAGGATTTGCTACACATTTTCTGTAATGGAGACTGCTATCAAAGTCAGTTTGTTTCCTTGACTTCTCTTGTGTATGATATTTGTTTTCAATAAAGTTAGGAGCAAAAAAACAAAAAACAAAAACAAAGGCTAATTTGACAGTACCCTGTTTGCAGGTGAAGGTTGCTGGCAGTGCATGCTGTGATATGCAGAACAGGTTGGAGAGGTTTAACTCTGATATTGAGGTCAAATAATTTTCCTTTTTGTGGCCAGTGTGAAAGCTTTACTACTTTCCATTTTTTGAGGGGATGTTACATTTTAGGCATATTTGAGCCTTTTATGACTATTTAGCCTACTGTTAAGGTACTGTTTAGTTTTCTATGCATTTTTGTTGAATTGCTTAAACTATCCCTGGAAAAGAAACTACTGAAGATATAGGGTACTTAAAATGTTTCTCTGTAAATATTGTGGATTCCGTGCACACAAATTTATATTGTTCAGTTCACATGTTACAAGCCATAAACACAATACAAACTATATGTTTTCTTGTGGACTTGAGAATTGTAAAGCCACTTTTAAAACATTCACTGCCTTTCGTTCCCATATGCACAGAAATCATAGACGAGGGGAGAACACTGAGGAGGAGAGCTGGAAGTTCACTGGAAATCTCAGGCCCTGTCCACACGTAGCCGGGGATCTGCCAAAACGTAGATATTTTTCTACGTTTTGGCCTGTCATCCACACGAAAACGGAGTTTTTTCACATGAAAATGGAAATTTTTAAAAACTCCGGCCAAAGTGAAGATCTGCGTTTTCTCCGTTTTGGGGTCTGCGTGTGGACAGACAAAACCGGAGTTTTAAGGTCCGCAACGTCACTTTCCGCGACAAAAAATGCTGACATCACGTGTGCGACCTGTGTTTACACTAGCCGACAGCATGGATGCCCTCAGAGCTGCGCTCGCTTTATCAGTTGTCCAAGCGCTTTCTGCTTGTTTGTTTTTGCAAGCGGAATTACTGCTCCTTGCAGAAGACCACAGACGAAGGACGAGGTTAAGAACGGGGGAAGTACTGCCGCCTACAGGTCTGGCATGTCCTTAACAACGTATTTATCCGGGTACGTGTGGACAGAGTTTTTTTTAAAACGAGGTGGTGTGGATGCAAGTTTTTGGAGGGGCAGATATTCGTTTTTAAAAAAACCCGGCTACGTGTGGACTAGGCCTCAGCTGTCAAGTTCCTGGATGTGGGTATGTTGGACAAAATATTAAAAGTCTTTGTGTCCATCTGAAGATCCATATTAAAGATGGAAAAAAGTATTATGCCCATTTAAAGGTTGCTCTAAATATTTCAGTGTTCGAACATCATTCTCTAGTCATATTTCTCGGAAACACATGCAGTCAAAGACTGTTCAACAGACAAGTCAACAAGAAATTGGTGACATTAACATGGTACAAGGACAGAACAGGACACCTTAGAAGACAGACATTTACAGAATGCTACAAATAATGAAGAGCCATTTCTAAATCAATTGGCACTGTTTTATTTAAAAGCTAAAATGCTTTTGCCAGCCAGCACTATACAGTGCATCATAGAGGAATTCCAAGATCTTCACATCTCTGGAGTGCACAATGTTCTTGGAAAACAGTTTGATTAACTTTCTGCATTTGATATACCTGAAGCATCTATACACAATATTATTCAGGAACTTTCACAAAATGACTTCCTAACACAGTACAATAAAGGTGTGTTGAGGTCAGACAAAACAAGAAAGACATTTTTCAAAGAAAACTTCAGCTGTATAGAGCCCACTCAAATTTATTTAGGATGTGACCGTACAGGGAAAAAGCGTTTTCTTTATTATGTGCCAATTACAAAACCCTAAAGCCTCTCCTAGGACAACCCACAGTGCAGGAGCAGTACAAACAGTCAAAACTCCATCAATCAAAAGACATGCTAGAGGATGTCTCAGATGGTCAAAATGTCAAAGATCATTTACTTTTGCAGCAGTATCCATCATCTCTGTCCCTTATGCTCTACCAAGATGCATTCGAAGTGGTCAGTCCATTAGGTCCAGGCAAAACAAAACACAAAATCCTAGCAGTGTACATGACACTAGGTGAGATTTTATCGCACAACCGGTCTTCTGTTGATGCGATGCAACTTGTTTCGCTTTGCAGAGAAGCCGATTTCAAGACTTTTGGCCACAACAAAGTTTTTGCCAGTCTTACTGCAGACCTTAAAAATTTGGAAGAGACGGGGTTTCTGGCAGCAGACGGAAACATGATCAAAGCAGTTTTGATAGCCTTCTTAGGGGGCAATCTGGGCTCACACTGCATTGGTGGTTTTACTGAGAATTTCAGTTGCAGCAAACATTTTTGCAGATACTGCTTAGTTGACAGGGAAGGCTTCATTAAAAATCCACTAGCACTTTGCCCAAAAAGAACTGCTGACAACTATAAAGATAGTATAGAGATCCTCTCCACAACTGACCAGTCTGTAGTGAATGGGATAAAATGTAACTCTGTATTCAATTCACTGAAGTACTTCCATGTGTGCTCTGGGCTACCTCCATGTTTGGGCCATGTCCATGACCTATATGAAGGAGTAGTTTCAGGTGACTTGTCACTATATATTGACACCCTTGTTCAAGTTGAGAAGCATTTCACAT